GGGAGCAAGAGTTCCCTGATGTTCAGGTCAGCTGTTTCTGTGGGTTTCACCAGCCTGGTCTGGACCCCTTTGCTCTTCACTCGTCCTTCACTGCATCTGGATTCCAGTTCAGTTCAGTGATTAGTTGTGGGTGTCTGTTTCTACTTCCACCAGCTGCTGGATAAGGGCTATTGAGTGGCATATAAGTCAGTCATCAATATCATTATCAGGGGAGGGCATTTAAGGTAGCCTCTCCTCTGTCTGGAGATCTACAAAGATGATACCAGCTAACAATCTACTTCACTTCCTTAAGTGTCTTAATGCTTCCATTGTATAAGTCTTCCTTTTCCTTGGTTAGATTTAGTTCAAAATACTTCATTTTTGATGCTATTATGAATGGGTTTGTTTCCCTGTTTTCTTTCTCAGTGTTTGCCACTGGTATAGAGGATGGCTAGTATTTTTTCATGTTAATTTTGTACTCTGATACCTTGCTGAATATGTTTATTAGCTGTAGTTTCTGTTGGAGCCTTTGAGATCTTTTATACATAGAATTCATATCATTTGCAAATAAGGATATCTGAATTCTTTTCCTATTTGTCTACTTTATCTCTTCTTGTTTTGTTGTTCTAGCTAAGATTTCAAGCACTATATTGAACAGGAGTCAAGAGAGTCGGCATCCGTGTCTTGTTTCTGATTTTATTGCAAATACTTGGAGTTTTATTTGTTATGATGTTGGCTTTTGGCTTGTTGTATATTGTCTTTATTAACTTGAGATACATCCCTTGCAGCCGGATTCTCTCTAGGACTTTTTTTATCATGAATAGATATATTTTATCTAAGTTCTTTTCTGCATCTAATAAGAATATCATGTGGTTTCTGTTCCTAAGTCTATTTCTGTGGCAGATTACATTTACTAACTTACATATGTTGAACCATATCTGCATTTCTGCGATGAAACCCACTTGATCATGATGGATGACATTTTTCTTATGCTCTTAAATTCAGTTTACAAGTATTTTATTGAAAATTTTGTATCTATGTTCATCAGAGAGATTGTCCTATATTTTTGATGTTTATCTAGTTTTTGGTATCAAGTTATGAGTGGTTTCATAAAAACAATTTGAAAATGTTCTTTCCATTTCTATTTTATGAGATTATTTGAAGAGTATTGGTATTCTTTGAAGGTCTGTAGAATTCTGTCCTGAATAAATCTGATCCTGGGCTGTTTTTTAATAGTTGGGAGACTGTTAATGACTGTTTCTATTTAATTGCTTGCTACTGGTATGTTCAAATTATTTACTTTGTGTAAATTTAAGTTTGGAAGTCATATACATCTAAAAATTCACCTATTTCTTTTTTTCTTTTTTTTTTCTGAGACAGGGTTTCTTTGTGTAGCTTTGGAGCCTATCCTGGCACTTGCTCTGGAGACCAGGTTGGCCTTGAACTCACAGAGATCCACCTGCCTCTGCCTCCAGAGTGCTGGGATTAAAGGTGTGCACCACCAATGCCCAGCTTCACCTATTTCTTTTAGACTTTCCACATTTCTAAAATGTAATGTTTTGTTTGTAATGTGTATCCTTATGATTCTCTGAATTTTGACTCAGTTATATTATCTCCCTTTTAATCATCTATAGTTCTATTAATTTCTGTCTCCTCTCTTTTTTAGTTAATTTGGTTAAATTAAAGGTATGTCAAACTTGTTAATATTTCCAAAGAATAAACACCCTGTTTCATTGGTTCTGTTTTTTCTTGCTTCTATTTCATCCATGATTTTGCTTATCCATTCTCATCTACTGTTTTGGGGTGCTGTTTTTGTTTTCCCAAGGCTTTCAAATGCACGATTACATTATTAATTGAGAAGTCTCCATTTTTTTATGTAGGCACTTAGTGTTATAACCTTTCTTCTTAGAATTGCCTTGTGTCCCATAGATTTTTATTAGGTTGTGTTTTCACTTTTATTCAATTCTAAGGATTTAGAAATTTCCTGCTTGATTTCTTCCTTTACACAATTATTCAGTAGTGTTGTATTGTTTCTCCATGATTTTTGTGTATTTTCTCTAGTTTCTATTTCTCTTGTTATCTACCTTTAATCCATCATGGTCAGATAGAATGCAGGATGTTATTTCAAATTTCCTGTATTTGTTGAGACTTGCTTTGAACCCTCATAAGTCGTCAATTTTGGAGAGAGTTCTATGGGCTGCTGAAAAGAAGGTACATTCTTTTTAGTGTTTGGCTGGAATGTTCTATAGATGTCTGTTAGCTCCTTTTCATTTTTCTGTTTACTTTATGATGTAAGTTAACTGCAGAGTTTCTCTCCTGAGTTTTTTGGCAGGTGACCAGTCTATTTGTGAGAGTGGGGTGTTAAAGTCATCCACTGTCACTGTGTTGGAGATAACCTGTAGATCTAATCGTATGTTTTTTTAAATAAGATTATGTGTATCTGTTTGGTGCACATCTGTTTACAAATATGTTATCTTCTTGGTAGATTGTTTCTCTAATGAATATGAAGTGACCCTCAACATCTCTTCTAACTGCTTCTAATTTGAAGTTTATTTTGCAGATATTAGAATAGCTTGCTTCTTAGCTCTGCTTCTTTGGACTATATTCTTCCATCTCTTTACCCTAAGGTGGTATCTATTGCTGGTGATAAGGAATGTGTGTGCGTGTTGATGTGTGTATGCATTTTTTGAGGCAATAAAAAGATGCATCCTGCTTTCTAACTGGGACCATTGATATTAAGAGGTATTACTGAAAGTTGTGTATTGTGTCATTTTGTTGTTTTGTGGTGTTTTCTTGGACTTCTTTGAATTAACTTTTCTGGAATTATTTATTACCCATGACCTCTTTGGTGTGTTTATCCTTCTCTTCAGACTGAAGCAGTCCTTCAAGTATCCTCTGTAGTGGTCATAAATTCCTTTAATCTATTCTTATTACAAAAAAATTTTACTTCTTCAGTTTTAATAGATGGTTTGGCTGAGTATAGTAGTCTGGTTTGACAGTTATGGTTTCAGAACTTGGACTACAAGCCTTTTGGTCTCTAGAAGTTGCTGTCTAATAATCGGATGTTATTCTGATAGGCCTGCCTTTATAAGTGACTTGACTTTTCTCTCTTATAACTTAAAATGTCCTTTCTTTATTCTGTATTCTTAATGTTTAAACTAAAATATTTAATGAGGACTTTCTTTTCTGGTCCTGTTTCTTTGGTGTTCTGTAGGCCTCTCA